CTTTCACACCAGGTGAGGAGGGCAAAACACCATGAATTTTGCTGTCAGATCTTGTCCATGTGACAATCTTGGCTCTTTTTTCCTTCAATTGTTTTTTCGCAGCCCTGAAGCAAATATTTTTGCTTTTATTCGGTGCTGGGATACAGATTTAATTAGGAAGAGCTGACTAAAGTGGCTTGCTGTTTGTTTGTTTGTTTGTTTTTCTTTTCCCCTCTTTTGCAGTTTTATTATAAATAAGGAGGAAAGAGAAATGGGGTCTTTTGCTATTGTTCCTTTGTGGGTAGATTGGCAGGTTATAATTCTTTCAGGGAACTATACTTGCATGTGGGGAAACCAGAAGATAACATATCTTTTCCCCTTTAACCATCTGACTTCAGATGTTATGAAATAGCAAGTGGTTTTACTTAAGAGTGTTTGTGTTCACAGAGCTAAAAGAGCTGCTGCCTCTGCTGTTTTGTTAGCTGTAAGAAAAGACCTTGGGCAATGGTGTGAAGACAATGCATGACTGTTCATTAAAAGTTTTTTTCTTACGGATAAGATAAACTGACAGTTTCCAAATTTGTGTTTTTATAAGAATCTTACTGGTTTCCTCTGATATTGCACATATTTTTTAAGCAGGAATGGACACTACATTTAGATTTTCATATTTTTCTCATTACATTTGGCTTTTGATTTTGACATCAAAAAATGCAGTGTAGGTAAGTGGGAGTATACACCTGGAGTTGGACAAAAATTCTTGCAGCTGCAGGGTCCGATTTCAGGTTCTCATTATTCTACCAAAGGTCTCATTATTTATGAACAAAATTCCACATTCCCTGTGCACCAATCTGCTTCTGGAAAGGTGTGAAGGAGTAGGTACTGAGTCAGTTTCATAAGAGGTTTCTTGCTCAGTCTGTAAGTCAGAGTACCATTTTATTTTATTTTTTTAAATTTAATTTTATTTTATTTTAATGTTATTTTATTTTTTTATTTTTATTTTTTAATCTGTTCTTAATCTTAGACTTGTCCAGTTTGGAAGGTTCTGCCAGTAGTTTAAACTCCAGCTGGCAAAACTCTTGGAGTCAAGGGAACATTCAAGACTGTCCTCCCTGCCAGGGTTGGTAGCAGGGCAGAGACAGACACACAGAACAAACTTAACAATTTAATACAAAAAAATACATAAAAACTAAGCAGAGCAGATTTCTGCAGAGGCATCATGCTCAAACTGGGCTGGAAGATATGAAACCATTATTTTTGAGTGATATCTTCTAACTATTTTGTCTGTAATTCACAGGAAGAATTCAGTATTTTCATTTGTTCCCACTTAAAACAATTTTTTGTTGTTTTGGTTGTTGGCAATGACTCAGAGCAATCTTTGTCAATAGAGTCTATGTTTTTCTGCCAGGTTTTTGGGAACATACCTGAATGTAAACAAACAATATTTCTGAGTGCAGAAAAACTCTCAATTGGTTCAAGTTAGGTACATGAGTAAAGATTTTTTTTTAACTGGAAATGCTGAAAAAGCTTATATATAAATTATAATATGCATATAATCTTAAAAATAAGCATTAGTCCTCCAGAAAGTACTCCTATATATCCTGAAATTGTTATTAAACAGCACAGAACATATTAACATCCTTATTTGGTAATTGCAAAGTAAAACCCTGTCTAAAGTTGTGCAGTTTGATTTCCTTGAAAAAATATTATGTTTTAGTATTGATTCATTATTTTGAATCCTTATTTAAATAACAGTGGGCGAAAAGAGGAAGAAGATTCTATACAGTAAAAGCATAAAATAAATAGAGGGTAAAAAAGGGAAGTATCTCTGCAAAGTCATGTAGTCAGTCCTTCCAAAATCAACTTCATGTAGGTTGTTTGATATAAAAGGAATTGATTAAAAAAAAGAAAAGAAAAAAAAGAAAAGATAGTCTTTGATATGAGCAGCTGTTGGTGAGACAATTTGCTTTCGTGCTGCTAATATGTTCATGAAATTTATTAGGAAAGTCTGCCTCATGTCTTGAATCAGGAGGAGGACAAAGAAGATTGCATGCATGATGCAACGAGTACAGTAATGCAAAACATCTGGGTGGAGCAGACAGCAGTTCAAACTCATGTTGCCTATTAAAAAAGCAACCTCCTCTTTGTTTTGTTTTTATTTTCCCACAGAAAAAAATATAACACTGACAGATTTCTTATTGAAACAGCACATTTTTTTTATCCACTCAAATAAGTTTGCAAACCTGTATGAAAAAAGCTTACATATCATGTTTATGACAAAGTGATTTTAGAGTTCTTGTGGTTGATTTTAACCAGAGCTGAACTGCACACAGTTTCCATGGGAGAAAATTTGGCTGTTTATTGATAAGCTCTGATAAAATGTGGGCTTGCCTCATACCACTATGTAAATTTATTTATTAATTTCTTAATATAAGCAAATCTAATACACTCAGTGTTTTTTCAGGTTTGCATAATAAAATATATACCTGTTTTGTCAAGTGGCAGATAATGAGTCATGAAGAATAAATAACTGCATCTCAGGCATAAAATGTGGACTTTTGGGACTTCCAAGCATTTCTTGGAAATTTGGAAGCTACATAAGTGGCTGTGAGTAAGTGTACATGACTTCCCAGCAGTGATGAAATAAAGTTACTTTTTTTTTTTTTTCCACAGGTTTTAAAGTCTGTTCCCATGCCCTCATTTTCTAGCTCTGTGAGAGGGTATTACGTTTTCATATTCCTTCAAATAGTGAACTTGATAGTCACTTAAAGTATGGCAACTGGGGTCTGAATAAGTGTTTGTGTTGGCTGCAAAACCAATTCCATCTGCATTAAGGAAACTGATCCCATGATTAGAAGGGAGAGTTTGAGACTGGGCTGTTTCCTTTCCATTTTGCCTTAAAAAAATAGCTGTTAAAGGAAAAAAAAAATTAATGAATTCTTTAGTAGAAATTTTAACAGCTACAGTAGCACACAGCACTTGTGTGCTCCCTTTGCTCCCCAGTCATGAACTAAAACTTGTGTGGTTTAATCCAGCTTCATGCAAGCAGAGTGAGGGGTGGAAATTGAAAAGATTTCTTGATTCTTGGGAGTACTATCTCATACCTGAATCACTTCAGCATTGAAAACAACAAAGATCCACTTGAGAACCCCAAAACAAAAAAATCCTACATTAAGGCTGTGCTTTTGCTTGGTGGGATTTCAACAACTTTGCTCCTTTTCACTTTTTATTTACTGGGGGAAAAAAAAATCCCTCTATATAAGTAACTAAGTCTTCTTTGTAAAACCACAATAAGATTTAACATGTAGTGGGGATAATAATCTATTCTCTTTTCTGCTGGCAAAGACCACCACCACTTCTAAACACAGCAATGTCACATTTTCCTACCCTCACAATTTCCTTTTCACTTTCCCTTCTCATTCATGAAAGTTGAAATATCAACTCTTTCTTCCCTGTAAGCAGTCACTCTCTAGCAAGCCTTCCTACTCCAGGGTAAACCCAGTAGATCTCTTGCAAAGGTGACATTTTCAAAGCCTAGTGTGTGAAACTAAACAAATATTTGTGTTTACATGTGCGGAATTCATATCTACAGCTATCAAAGGGGCACATAATGAGTCACGGGTGTGTGAAAAGAACGGATTTGTGCATGCATGCCGCTTATGCTTGAGTATAAATTGCAAAACAATGGAATTATTTTGATTTCTGCATGTGACTGGAATAGAGTTCTTTGCTCCCTTAGAAGCTGAGCAATATTTGATTTTTCAAGAAGTTGTAGATGTAGTTGTGTCTGTCTGTTAAGCAGTGTGTCCTCATACACGGGGCCTGTTTAATGCATTCTTCATAAGCTTAATGTGATTTAAAAACTATATTTTGCTCTTTATTTGAATTCTTATAAGGCTTTTGGCTCAGTCACTTGGCAATTAACAGCACTGATTTCAGGCATTCACATCTTCCACCTGAATGCTCCTATTGCCCCTCTGAAGATTCCTGACCTGGAAGACTGGTAGAAGGGAAGATGTTCCCACTCTGGGCTTACCCCAAGTAAAACCTGTTTTCAAACACAGACTCACCTTTTTCAGGAATTTAAAATCGGCTGACAGGCCTTGCAGTGCTAGTACGCATTTCCTCCTCAGACAGTAATGGAAATCTGGGGTAGAAGGAGTGGACAAGGAGTAAGGCAATAAGAATCTTTAAAACATCTAAATTTGGTTCACTGAAGGCCCTTCCTTTGCGTCTCCTGTGGGTCTAGGACAGCTACCCCCTTACTCTACCCACCCTTCAGAGGGTTCAACATTCTGCCTTTTCATGTCCAGCACTCCCATAGAAGCATTACTGTGTGTGGAGTAGTTTCTGAACACTTCAGATCTTTGAAGTGTTTTCCAAAGATCAACATAAATATAGTATTAAGTCTATGATCTTAATGACTGGTTTACTGTTCTCACCTTTCCCCATAATAAATTTCTCTCAGCAAAATTTAAATGAAGTACTTTTTGATGGCATGCTTGATCCTGCAGATTAACCATGCTTTCACTCCCATGAGGTTTCCTTTTTGCAATTTGTAATTATGTGCTGAAAATAAGCTAAAGCAGTGTTTCACTCTCTTTATACATTTGAGTTGGATGCTGCAGCAAACTTTGAAGAAAATCCACAGGTTTGCAGCTCCACCCACTTGTGACATCATGAAATAAAGTTTTATATTCCCAGATCAGCACTGAGCTCTCTGATGGGTACTCAGATAACACATGGACTTCCAGGAGTAATTACATATAAAAAAAAAAAAAAAAAAAAAAATTGCTACTCTTCTCACTTCATTTGACTTTAAGTTAGATGTTCTGCAGTTTAATATTGTGTTATTGTATGTCATTCAAAACTCTTAACAACCATCTAAAGCCTTTGACCTTTACACTTATTTCTCAATGTGGCATTTAGTTTTTGTTGGGAACATTCAAACTTAATTAATATAACAGTCATTTGTGTTCTGACTGAATGAATCCTTACTCCTTTTTTTTTTTCCCCTTTTTAAGGTAAAAAAGTCACAACACAGCCTACAACTTTTGAGCCTGTGACATCTCTGAAAACTGACAGTGTGAAATCGCCACCTGCTGAAATTACCCTTAAACCTCCTGTCTTTGAGACTCTGATTACTGAAGTGCCTGACACCCAAACAGAGGCCCCTGATTGGAAGGAAACAACCCAAGAGAGTGAGGAAGATATAGAAATGACTACTGAACTGGTTGAAGAAAAAAGGGAGAGGGAGGTGCTTATGGAGAACATTCAGTTAACCACCCTTCTACCTCAGACTGTCACAGATGGCGAAATAAGCACTTACTATACACTGGGAAGGACTGAATACGATGTTTCACCCAAGTTAACAGAGAGCACATCTGCAGCTTTGGAGCTGGACCACACTTACTCTGAAGCAGAACTGCCCAAGGAACAAGGTAGGTCTGAAAGCATTGAGGACGCTTTCTTGACCGCTATAATTTTTCAGGATAGCACAGCTGTAGATAAGAGTTCTACTGGTTTTTGGGAAGACACTGACACAGGAGATGCACAAAAACATGATGTTGATAATCAGACTGAGCAAATAGAAGTGGGCCCTGTGATGACAGCTACAGATAGCATGTTACTGACTTCCCGGAGAGAGTCTCCCAGGACAGGGGCTTCACTTTCACTAACAAAAGAGAATGTTTATCGTGGTGCCCACTCAAGCCAAGAACCCACCAAAAAATCAATGGAGGCAAAATCTGACAAGAAATTTACAACTGTTGTAATCCCTAAAGCTTTGCTCACTGATCAGTATGATCTTACTGCAGAGGGGGAGGGCAGTGAGAGCACGTACACCATTGTGCCTGACAGAGTTTCTGGCATAGCTACGGGTAGTGTACCAAAATCAGACAAGCCTGCTGCATCAGAGACACTCTTAGATGAGCATGCAGTAACCACTGGACAATTTTCTTCAGCAAGTGGGTCAACATCATTTGTTAAGTTTAGTTCTGCAATGGCATTTGATAGTGAGGCATCAGCCCAAGGAAGCAGAGAGGACCTGAGAGATGTGCAGCCTACCCTGTCACCTGGGACACCTGTATCCTTTTCTGTATCAACTGTTGGTCAAACAGAATCTGAGGCTGCCTCAGGAAGCACTCGTTCCCCACTAAGCTTTGGAAAAAGCACATTTGTTATCCCTTCATCTCAGCAGATGGAAACATCAGCTTTTTCAGAGGAGCAGGAAAAAACAAAGGAGCCAGAAATGAGAATAATGGACGTTAAGACCCCTCTTGCCACAACTGTCATCTCTCCCTGTGCTGCAGCAGAGTCTGAGGGATGTTCTGCAATGGAGAAGTTCACGCAGGCTCCTCCAGCTCCTGAAATGTGGCTGCCAACAGATGAATATCAGGGGTACATAACAGAGGAGTCGTCTCACACTGAGGGAATCCTTGAGTTAGGTACAGAGGAGGGTGTCTCTGGAATGGAGCCTACAGCATTTTCAGGGCAAACTGCAGAATATACAATGCACCCAGGAGCTCCAGTTTCAGCAGTTACAGATGAAACTGAGACAAGCATGAAGCCAGGGGAGACTACAAGTGATGAAGAAGTGATATCAACTGATTTTGGTCAGAGTAGACATACTACAGGTGTCTCCCACACAAGCAGCTCTTTGGATATGGAAATGACCACAGTATCCAAAATACCAGTGGAAGAAACTAGTGCAACAATAGGGTCCTTTAGCTCCTCAAGTGTTACTGTATGGCCAAGTGCTATGCCCACAGCTGTGGGGGTAACTGAGCATGAAGGAGATGAAACATCAGGGACAAAGGGAACTATTGTATTTACAGATGTAACAGAGGTAGATACTGCAATCCCACAGAAAGAACATGATGCTTTCCTAGTTCCAGTTACTGTAGAGAGTGAGGTCACTACAGATATGCCAGTTACTGATCAGACTCCTTTTGATGGTATCTTTCATACAGAAGCAACAGAAACAACTGCAGAGCACAAGGAGGTGTTCCCAGAGGAACTCTCCACGAAAGATCAAGATGAGCCAGGAACTGCCACAGAGTCAATCTTATCTGTGACACCTGTCCAACCACATGAACAAAGGACAACACTAGGATCTGAATCATCTCCAACACCTGTTCAGGAGAAGCAGGAAGAAACAGGTTCAGCCTATCATGAGACATACCCAGCAAGAGAAGTACCAGTACCTGCAGTGGAGTTCACAGACCATGGAGGAGTTCTGAGACCTGAGGAAACCAGCACCAGGACCTTGCAGCTCACAGTGACTCCGAAAGCTGAAACTACTACTGATGAAGAGCAGAAGGTCACTGAGGTAATGACAGTGACAGCTGATACCCAGGAAAGCCAAGGAATCCCCAGCAGAGAAGAACACAGGGATGCAGTGAGCTGGGAACCCACGTTGCCCCCCCATACAGTGCTGACAGGCCGTTCCACTGTGGAAAGCATCACTCATCTGACCTTGGGAGCTTCTCCAAGCCAAACCACAGAAGGTTCAGGAATGACTGAGGAACCTGAAGAAATCAAGCCAATATTTGCAGCTACTGCACCAGATAAGGCTACAATCCTCACTGGTGTAACACATTCCATTAGCGATGTAGACAAAACTCAGCCCACATCAGCATTCAAACATTCAGTCACTCAAAAGTCCCCCCGTATCATCCCTGAGGAAGAAGAGGAGGTAACGAGCCATGACATCATCATCATTGATGAATCTGTTTCTCCCAGTAAAACCACTGCTGATGAGGATCTGACAGGAAAGATGTCAGAGCCCGAGATCGACAAGGAGTATTTCACAGCATCCACGGCCACGGCAGTGGCACGGCCAACAGCACCACCCAGAGTGGAGGAGGCCACAGAGGCTTTGCAACATCAGGAGGTGTCTCCTTCTACTTCACACCCTGACAATGACATAAGAATGTATGTTATTCAAATCACAGGCAATGACACAGGTAAGATTTTGCCTTTTAGACCTGCGGTCCATCAGAATGGACAGCTTGTCATAACAAAGAGGTGTCCTTTAGGATATATTGGAGATGTTGCTTGGATCACTGAAGGATGGAAAGTACCAGTTTTATCTAGACAGCAACTTACTGAATATTGGTAGGTCTATTTTCCTATCCAATAAAAAGCCCTCAGAAATGTATGTTACATTTGCTTTACGGTAAGACTAATTTCTGTGTAAGAATGAATATGAAACTGTTGTATTTTCTCTTAAAAGTCATGATGGCTATGGTCCAGTTTTCTTATTTAATGTTGTCAAGTCACTGATTTAACTTCAGCTATCTGTGAAACAAGCATTTTAATTTCACAGCTTCCATTCCATGCATTGCTAGTCCTAAACAAAGCACTAGATTATTTTAACATTCCATTAGTCTGTAGCAATTAACAATGCCATGTACAGTGGAGTCAGCTAAAAAATGGTTAAAGCACTCTACTGCCTCCTGTGATTTGGGGGAAGGGGTTTTTCCATGTTTTTGTATCATATAATAGTATTTTTTAAAATTGGTTTTAGAGAATACATGTTGCAAATTAACATAATTTTTAATTCTGCCACATTTTTTGGCTGATAGTTCTGTACATGTGTATGTAGCTTCAATTCCATGGGTATCCAGAACAGAAACTTCTAAAGTAGTAATGATCTGCTGGGTTTTATAGTGAATATGTCTCCAAAATGCAACAGCTGAAGGCTATGCAATTTTACATTAAAGAAGCCTGTTTACTGCCTATTATTTAAAGTTGTCTTGGTAAAACATTATTTTTTAAAATGAAATGAAAAAGAACTGAGAAGCAGGACAAAGCACAGAATGTTGCTAGGTTCAATGTTTTATTCTGATTAATTATTTTATAGCTGCATAATAATTACTTTTTTTTTAAGGAAGACAGTTAAAATGGATCCTATGTCTTATATACCTTAACCACATGCACTGCTTTTGAATGGTTATGTAAGAAACTGTTTTCTGACTGGTTCTCTGAAGAATTCATCCAGCCGAATCCATAATTTATGGGACTCTTTTGGATGGTTTCGTTAGGTTTGGGCTTCGTTCAAAAATCAAAAGCCAGCAGTAGTTTCCTTGAGATGTGCCATATCCTGGCTGGACTTTTCATGGAGTGGTTTTGTATTTTTATTTACTTTATGCTTTTTATCCCACTTTATATTTGCAAGTTGTAAATCTGAACAAGTTATATCAACAGCCTTCTATTTCAGAAAATGATAGTTCTCTTCTCTTAACATTTAAATACTCCTTTTGTTTCTGTGGTATATTATCATTATTTTGTCTGAAGTGTTGTGTGTTGTCAGTGTCTTAGGAGTCTCCATTAAATAAGACAAGTCCTGTAGGTCAGAGCAGAAAGGGAACTTCTGAAGATTAGAGTAAGGCACTTGATAAATACTTTTGTACCCATGGAAATTTGATTCATTTGACTTAAAAATTAATAGTTGCACTGTGTAGTGGTAAACTAGTTTTTCCAGTTAGATTTTTGAGTTATACTACTGTTTATTGCAAAAGGGAGAGTGGGTTGTGCTGGGCAGCTGTATATTCCAAGGAGATGGAGAGAAGGAGGATGATTTGAAAGGGTGTGGATGTAGGATTTCTCTGCATATACATCAAGGACAATCTTATTTTACACTTTTTTTTTTCCCCGGAATAATATGTGTACTGTGATTCATTAAGTCAGGATTTAGTTCAAACTGGATTATCTAAAGGAGAGTGGATCAATCCTTAAATCCTCTTCATAACTATCCTTGCTTTCCCTTGGGTGATCGCGTCTTTAGGCCAAACATTCTCCAGGATTTCCCTTCTTCATCTTCACAAACTTTCAAAGCTGTGCATGCATTTCCCATCTACACATGTATTTTAAGAACTATTTAGTCTATGAACATAGAAACCCCCCCTTTTTTTCTTGAAATATTATTAAATTCTCAGTATGACACTATTTGTATTCTCTTTAAACACTGAGAGTTTCAACATGTATCCACTGCAAGGTTAAAACGGAGTTTTCTTAATTTTTCTGTTTTCAGACTCCATCACTGAGAATTCCAACACTTATTTTTCCGCAGAGAAAAGGCATCCTATGCCTACTTACTTACCATAAGTTAAGTAAGGGCTTAATGTGCTGAAGAAATTAAAATATTTAGTATCAAGTTTCAGTTCTATATTGTCCTGAAAACAGAAAAATTAAGAAAACTCCATTTTAACCTTGCAGTGGATACATGTTGAAACTCTCAGTGTTTAAAGAGAATACAAATAGTGTCATATTGAGAATTTAATAATTTATTTGACCAGAAAAAGTAGTAGTCCTAGAGGACTACTTTTCTTATCCAAGAGGTAAATAGTTATACTCCTGGCCTTCAAAATGCATCCTTGCAAAGGAAACTTACTTTCAGATTTAAAAAAAAAAAAAAAAAAAAAGTACTCTGGAAACAGAAGTAATTTGGAGTCCTGGTGGAAGGTCAAGCTCATTAGCTTAAATTCTGAAAAATGCCTTCAAGTGCTGATAAAAAAGAACATACAGCTGAATAGATTAGGCTGCTTATTTGTCTAAGAATACATCAGTTTTCACTGAGTAGATGTATTGTATAAACAATCCATGCACTTCCATGTGGGCAAGCTTGAGGCAGGTGCACAAATTAATGAGGGTAATAAGATGTATTTTCTCTGACAGGCTGTGGCACATGGGCAGGTGTTTCAATTAATGGGGAAAATATATTTGTACATGGAGAAATGTCCCTTTTCATGTCACAAAAAAGGACATTTTTCATAATGGAAGGAGCTTGGGACTTTCATCCACTTGGGTGGAATGGAGGCTTGTTGGGTTGTGACCATGATATGAGAGTGAGAAAGAAAAATATCCCCTGCACTGTGAGGCGTTGCCACCTGAACAGTTTTCTGTGGCATCAGAGGGAACAGAGGAGTTTGTCTTTCACTGCAAGGATGCAAAACTTGCCAACTTGTGCCCTGTTGTGTCCTCACAGCTCTGTGTGTTGCAGTGGTGAGGACTGATGCTGGTGCTGGACGGTATTGGATTAGCAGCTGGGAGAAAGACAAAAAAATACCCAAACCCAAACCTGAAGGAACTTTTCAGCTCATAAAGCTTTTATGAGCTGAAAAATGCTTGTGGGGGTGTTGTTTAACAGTGGTTGAGGGGATGCTGGAAACATAACTCCCATCTATATCAGGAGTAATTTGTACACCTGCATTTTTTGGAGACATTTAAAAGTCTTAGGGAAATGTGTTTCAAAGTGCTTATTGGACCCTGGGACTCACACCAGCTTTGTCTGGTTTCTTGTCCTTTCCAACTTTGAAGAGAATGAAATTGCAGGAACCTGTGCTTTGTAGATTTGAAATTTTATGAAAAGAGGTTACAGACCTTTGTGTTTCAATGTGTAATTCTCTGACATGCGTATTTCTACCTTAACAGTGCGAGAGGGCATGTGAAATTTGAATGAAATGCAGAATGGTAATGAGTCATAGCCATAAACCTTAACAAAGAAGGTAGAATGGAGTCTTTTCAAGTCCATCTTAGGCCTTGCCTTAAAATTCATTTAATCCTCTTGTCCTCACAGTTCCTTCTGGAGAGCTGTCAAAGACCGTCATGGCTCTCTTTAAGCCTGATCCTAATATCTAGCCTGAACTGCTTCTTGGCCAGTTTATACCCGTGTTTATTCTTGCCAGCATTGTCTTTAGCTTGAATAGGTCTTTTTCCTTCCTGACACTTATCCCTTGATACTTTTATTTCTCTGTTCATTCATAGAGAATAACCATGTCCCCTTTTTTCAGCCCTCAGTTTGCTCACTTCTGAGGGGAATGTGTGCGTGGGAGAGTGGGAGTGCACTGGTACCATGCTAGGAGGAGAGACACTGGTTCTGTCCTGGGGGCTGTGGGTGTTGGGATGATTAGAGCAGATGAGGATGTGAAGGGACAGGAACAGTGTGGCTCAAAATGTCATTTCCAGGCAGCACCTCACATGCAATAGAGACAACTCAAAAGCTTGGAGCATGGATTTGTCTGCACCTGTAACCACATTGTTCTCTCTTAAGTTATTTTATTTATGCCCTATGAAAAATAATGCATCTGGATATCATTCTTTGTGGTGTACACACATGTGCTAGGTTCAATTTTTGGTGTACCTTTCAAAAATACAAGCATTAATTACAGTGTTAGAGAGACTTCTGCTAAAGGAGAGGAGACCTGATGTTTTATTTGCTGAAATCACCATTTGTTTTTTCCTCAAAGAGCATATGTTACTAAAAGGCTATTGTTTATTCATAGGACCTACTTCAAATCAAAGTTTACTGTGAAGAAACGCTGTAGGCTGACCTGATTTTATTTCTGGTGGGATGCTGAAACAATAGTAAAAGTGGCCTCAGGTGGGCTGAGCCAATTTCCTATCTTATTAAACATCTCCTACTTGTTTAATGGAGGGCTGGGCTCGTCTCCTTATTAACCGTAATTTCCAAATGAAACAGGTTTGTCAGTGTCCGACAGGCATTTCATGTCCTGAATGACCAAACTCTCCACGTTACTCACAGAACTTGGCACAGGAACAGCCACATTCCCCTTGTTGTGTCTCAAGCAACTGAAGTTTTAAGCTCCAAACAACATGGCCAGATTCTGATATCATCTTCCCAAGTGTAATTACACTATAGTAATTCCAGTGAGGTGATTGAGGACAGAATTGCTGTGGGGATGTGGAGATAGTAGGTATCAGAACGTCTTCATAACATTTATGATGCTCCTGAATCATTATTTTTTTATGATTATTTATGATTATTTTTCTTTAGAAAACATTTGAGTCACACCTTCAACCCAAACTGGTAGAACTGTTGATTAATTAAACCAGTAGGAGTTTTTCTATATTAGAACACTTGTTTTTCACTGGTGCTGTGGAGGCTTTTTAAAATAGGTTGTACACCATCTCATATAAATCATATTTAAAATACAAAAACAAG